TGTAGTCCAGCGGAGCTCCCCTTTAGCCGGTGACTGATCTGCTCGGATTTTGCTAAGCTGCTTGTTTTCTGAAAAACTCTGTCTTCTGAGAGCAGGTCATTAGCTGTGTCCTGCACTCAAACCAGCAAGGGCCTTGGAAATCATCATCACTTGACATATGCACCTTATTTAAATTACCGTCATTTCACCCATTTACAGAGCTGCATGTCTTACTGGTGTGAATCAGGTTAAGTACCAGTGTGGGGTCTCTCCCTGACCTGTACGCTCCGTATATTGACAGACTGTTTGCCTGTCTACTGCTGTGATAGCATTCCCTCCAATGAACTCTCACCTTTAATCTCATTAAGGATGTATCTCTAAGCTTGTATCCTTGATAAACTCGACTGGGGAGGTATTTTGCAGTTAAATGTGTTCCTTTGTCTGCATTTTAATTGAATAATGTGCTTTTGCCAACATTGTGAAACCCTCTGCCAGGAATTCCTTTGTATTCCTATAATTACACGTCTTGCTTTCCACTCCTGTAACGCTGCAGGACCACAAACGGCAGCGCGGTCCCTGCGCCTCCTTCTCCACTCCTCGGTCACTATGCATGCTCCTTGGCTTGTATTTCCAGTGCTGGAGGCTGTACAGATCCTTTAGTGTGAAACGACAGGAGAGGTTCCAGCAGGGCCCCCAAAATGGTACCATTTGCAGGGTATCTGGCCCTGTGGCGGTGGACCTAATGTGGTAAAGCTGTGTGTGGGTCAAGGGGACCCAAGGAATGATTTAAAAAATAATAAATAAATAAAGGATAGATATGCACCCCCACCGTGTACTGGACTAACGGTAAGGAAGACGGGTGTAATTTTATCGTATGTTGCGCAATAGAAATAAAGCATATCCTTCTATTATAAATATCGTTTAAGTATTTGAATAATACTGCCATGCCCCTTGCTCTCCCGTTTGTTCGGACGCGTGCGTCCTTAACGAGGAGCCGTTTGTAGGTGTTCCCCTTTGAGAGCCCTCCCCCGGCCTTCCAGCAGCTGCAAATAGAGTTGACTGAGTGAGTGACCGTAGACGCGGCAATGCTGGGGTTAGGGTTATTATAGGGGGTTAGGGTTATTGCAGAGGGACACTCCGCTGCTGATGGCGTGCACCGATTAACCTGTTAAGGCGTGTGGATCAGCAATAAAAGTTAGTCGGAGCGCTTGATTAAGAAAACGGCGTTGAAATGGGTAGATCGGCGAAGTACAGAAACTGAAAAAAGTCCTCGCGGGGGGTGGAGGGAGTAAGTACCGTATTGGTGGGAAAAGGCAGTTTTACATAAATTTGGGAGAAGATGCTGTTCTTTTTCCCCATCAAGAAACTGAGACGAAATGCCAGGTGCTTTTTATTTGCTGCGCTGCTGGCTTTTGCGGGCTTGGCTGGGTACCTGCGACTCGCGGCCGTGAGCACATGGGACCGTCCTTTCCCGGCTCTCCGTGAGTATACTGTATGTCGCTCTCTGGCTCGGGCTGCATTATGGCATTTAAAACTGCAGAAAGCGTGCATTAAAAATGCGCTTTTGTAGTTGTCCGGTTCAACAGGTTTCACGAGAAAGCAAATGGCAGAGGAAGGGTGTCCTCAATTTACACTAGATATAACGTGAAGTATTAAGTATCAGGAGCGTTTTAAGCCTTCCTGACCATGGGGTGAATCGGGACACTGTATGTCTTCTTAATTTTATTACCAGTGTTTATAAATCCTTTCTTCTTAGGGCAGCCTAATGCATTTTGCTTGGACAGTATCATTTGTGAGATTTTAAAATGAAGAGATCGACGGGCCGGGAGTCACTGATTGCCACTGTTTTGCGCCCCTTCACGGTCCTTTTTTTACCAGATATTTGAAGTTGTCAGACCTGTTGTATGGAAGCAGTTGAGTGATGATTCCGGCCCCAGGTCTGTGGGGTGTCTGGCCGCTAATGACTTTAGATAACTCTGCAAACAGGAGATTATCCATTACGCTGGAGGGTCCCGGATACTCTAACTCGGGAGGGAGGCGCCCCCAGGCCAGCAGCAGTGTGCTTATGCTTAACCTCAGATACTACAAGCCATGAGTCACTATCCAGGGTGAATTTGGTTTCAGCTACGAAACCAAATATTGTCATTGTTTTCTGGAGGCAAATCTGTACGCCATTTTCTGCGCTGTATTTGCATTGACTTTGTATGCATGTGTCCTGGTAACAACGTCTGTGCCTCGCTAATGTGAGATCACTGTTACCCTGCAAATCCGTAAAGATCACCCCTGCCCTAACCCCGCCCTTGTGCCAGACTTTCTGCTGCCTGTATTTCCTGTGCTAAGTGCTTCCCTCATGCCCCTGTAAACCTCCCCTGCCGCTCTGCTGGGTTTGTGTTTTATGTTGAGGTGTGTTTGCCCCCACCAGGGGCACAGGATTCCAATGTTTGGGTTGCAGTCATTAACCCGCTCCCCCATCCCCCCTTGTATTTAAATAATTAAGTTGTGTCCCTCACAGAGCCCAGCCAGGCACCCCACACCCCCAGGGCGTGAAAAGCTCGGTAGGCCTGAGCTGCTGCTTATCCACCTGGCTTGACTTTTTATTCCGAGCCCCGCTCTTTGGGGTGGGGGTGGGGGGACACATTTGCCGCTGGGGGGGTTATACATTTGCCTCTAGTAGGCGCAGCTGGGATTGACAGGGACCCCAGATGGCGGATGGCGACAAGCGTATGGCGACACGCGGCCGGGGAAGATGCTGGATCACCAGGACTTATCAACTGGGTCTTTCATGTCACCATTGTGGCAACTTGTGAACCTTTCATGTGTTTCTGTACAGAGCTGCACCTGGCTTTCCGTCCGTCAGCGTCTCTCCTCTCCATGATGAAGCCGGGAATCTGAGCCCAGGACAGCACAGCTTAGCCTTGTGTCCTCGCTGTCCTCGCTGTCCTCAGCTGTCCTCGCTGTCCTCAGCTATCCTCTCTGTCCTCGCTGTCCTCAGAGAATCGCTCTTTGTGTTTACATACAAAGTGAAGGTGTCAAGCGGCTGCTCGGTGTATGACATGAAAGCCAGCACCTGTCAGACTCTCGTGAGGGAGGAGGCTGAGCAAAATGCTTATTTCTGTGTTGTTCGTTATCCTAGATGCTTTGACTATATGAGCCTGGGATAAGAGAGGCCCTTGTGTGTGTGTCCTTAACAGCTTCCTCGCTGATGACATTTGCGGTTTTGTTCTGGCCTGCCTTTGCATCCAGCTTTTTAAAGACAAAATTTGTTTGAGTACGAATATCCTGACTGGCAATAAAAAGCCGAGGAGGCAGCCTGGCCTGATCCCAGAACAGCAGGTGGTACGATAGACCTGCAGGGGGCGATACACCCTGCTCTGAGGGCTAGGCGCCCCTGGCATTAACAGTTAGTCGTGTGAAGGTTAGGGTGTCCCAAAAAAAATATTTTTTTAAAAAAATCGAAGTGACACCCCCTAAAAAGTTTCCTCTTGGTAAGTTGCACTCACATATAAAATTTCAGCTCAATCGGACTTCATTTAGAGGTGGCACAAGAGCTGCAAAGATTCGTAAAATACCGCTAAAATTGAAATAATTCGCAATGTTCGTGACCGTATAAGTTTTTATTTCAGTAACAAGGTGAAACTCACAAATACATTTACAGTGCATTGTAACAAAATAAGGCAATTTAATTAAACTTAATTAAAACAAAATGACATCACTTCTGCTTCTTTAATGCTGAACGCTGATCACTGTAAGAGAGTCTCTTCTCATCACTGGTGCCAGAAGATGAAAAAGCGCTGCTTGTAACAAAACTCACACTTGTTAGCAATGTTGCCTGATAACATTGCTGACCTTACACTTTCACGATCGTTTTTCAGTGTTCTTCGCCTTGATGACAGCTTTCTCTCAGTTCCAGTTTTATTGTGGGATGAAACTCCATCATTTGTTGCTGCCAAAGAAGCTGTTCAAAATTTGGCTTGTGTGAACGACTGTGCTGAACGTGGTGTTGCGTTGATACATGATTTTAACGCATCAACATAGGACGAAACACAAAAGCAGTACATGCTTCAAGTTGTTGAACAGCATAGACGTACCTTTCAGCAGTGTAACCTAAGTGAACTGCACAGCATGTAATCTGACTAGTGACTAGGCTACTACTAGTGACTTCTGTTCTGTGTTACTTATGTAATTTGCCAGTGTGTCACACTGAGTGATTACAGTGATCAGCGTTCAGCATTAAAGAAGCAGAAGTGATGTCATTTTGTTTTAATTAAGTTTAATGAAATTGCCTTAAATTTACAGTGCATTGTAAAGTATTTGTGAGTTTCACCTTGTTACTGAAATAAAAACTTATAAGGTCACGAACATTGCGAATTATTTCAATTTTAGCGGTATTTTACGAATCTTTGCAGCTCTTGTGCCACCTCTAAATGGAGTCCGATTGAGCTGAAATTTTATATGTGAGTACAACTTACCAAAAGGAAACTTTTTAGGGGGTGTCACTTCGATTTTTTAAAAAATTATTTTTTTTGGGACACCCTAGTGAAGGTGTTCTGCTTCACCAAGTGTCCATTGGCGTAGACTGGAGTGAGCTCATCACCATGTTTCCTGAAGTAAATCTGAATGGTGCTGAGTGTCAGACATTACTCATAGACCAGTCTCAAGAGGAAGTCAGCTGAGCTCAGCTCTGCTATAGAGGGGCCGTCCACCCATGACACCCATGACTGAGAGGCAGCGTTAGCGTTCAGCTTGAATGCCATGGAAACACATAAAATGGGCAAGAGCTGTTGTGCGTGGATTTGCAGTTGTTGTTTTGTGTCAGTTGTGCTGGATTTTTGGGTAAAATCATATTTCAAGTACTGAATACATGACAGTTAAATAGGGTTGGGTGTCGTTTGAATTGTATGGATTCCAATTCCGGTTCTGCTCATCCATTCCGGTTCTTATCGATTCCCCATTTCGATTCCATAAAGGTAAAAAAAGGGGGACAAATGTTTTATATTAGTTATATATTATTTCTATATGATTTGCAGTTTTTCTGTTTTTTGAAAGCAATATTAATGGTAATTATAGCAGGTTGTTCTTAATCATGCTAAAATAGTTCTTGATTTCCTCAATCGACTTGTTTTGTCTTTAAATCGATTTCTTCCCAATCTTCATCGCTATGACAACCTTCGTCGAGGGATGAATTAATTTTGTCACGTTTCTTCTGCGGGAACATGAGAGCGTACCATTTGGAACATTGCAGATACAAAGGTCTTGATTTTGCATGTCCTTCATGTCATTCTCCATCGGTGTACCGCACGTGGTTTATCGCCGCCTCGATGACCTCGACGGCATCGCACTTGGGGTCGTATCCATAGGTAAAATGCCACGAGGAAACATGGAAGCTGATTATTTTAATAATTTCATGCAAAAGCGGACGTTTGCGTTGAGACCAGGCATATTTGACACATAAAGGTTTATAGTGATATTTTTAAGTCTCTGACATAAAGGACGAGTTATTTAGGTTGTTGTCGCACACTTAACAAAATGCGCCTTGAGAGAAAATGGAGCATGTTGTTATTTTTGTGTATTTTATGGAAACGCTGATTTATTGTGTTGTTTTTGAGAACGCATTTTAAAATAGTTTTCTCATTATGTGTTGCATGAATGAGTCGTCTGCATTTTCAGCGCCAACCTAGGCGCCAAGGAGGCCCATCGGACCAGACCTCTGCAGTCCTGCTGGATGGTTTGGCCATGATGTTGAAAGTCTTTTCGCAGGGGTTAGGAGGAATGAAAGGTGAAGGGGGAGGGCGTGGGTCTGTGGCACTAACCCCAGCTGAAAGTTGATTGGCCCCCGGAGTGCCCTCTCTCCTGTCACTCGCCGACTCAAAATTTCTGATTGGCTAATGATAAGGTTGCCCCCTCCAAATGAATTATGCCCCTTCTTATTCTGCCCACCTTTAATAGTCCCAGAATCCTCTCTTGGGCAGGGTTAGCCTTTGTCTCCGTCTTTGTATAAACAAAATTATATTGAGATATATACTGATTGGCGATAAAAAGCCTAAGGCGGCAGCCTGGCCAGACCCCAGAACAGCAGGTGTTACGATAGACCTGCAGGGGGCGATACACCCTGCTCTGAGGGCTAGGCGTCCCTGGCTTTGACTCACAAATGAACAGTTAAGGTTGTAAGTAGAATTTAATTCACAAGGCTCCAGCCCTTCATTTTAAACCTGTTTCTTCAGGCTACAAATGCTTTTTGTGTGGTTTTATTTATAAATAATGGTATTCATTTATATTGAAATATTAATATATAAAATTATTTATTTGTTTTTTGTTAGTTTTTTATAGCCAGCAATGTAATTTGTAATTAGTGACCAGTGTTTGGGGGGGGGGCAGACAAACACAGACAGGAGTCAATATAACAACTGAACTAAAAATAACATTTCTTTTTATGACAATTATCCACAAATCCACTTTTGTTACTGCAGTGTATCTTTCTTGGCTTCTGGAAGAACATTTCTAGAGCCTCTTGATATGGGAATCAAAAACGTCTGGCCCATTTACTGAGATCTGCATGCAGGCTGCTGGATGGTCTCCTTGCAGCCTCTTGCGGATGTTTGTCTTGACCTGCAAATACTTTAACTGTTACGCTTTAATAGTGATAGCTGATAGCTTAAAATAGTGATAGTTTAAAGCAGAAAATCCCATTGTGAGACGTGTTTATTACCCTGTTCATGGTTGAGAAGTCCCTTTCACAGTTTACACCACTGACCGGGTGGTTGCCGTGACATATTTTCCGACGCGCGCTCTCTGTCCGCTGGCAGGAGTGTGCTCACCTGTGTGTGCATGACCGTGTCTGTGCGCGCTCACCTTTGTGGAACTCCGCCATGCGTGATACAGAGAGCAGAGGAGAATTGTAAACGCGCGACCGTGTAGAGACGAAAAATGACAAGCTGTTGTGTAAATAAGATAAATAACATAAGGCTATTTAGGACAATGTATAGACCTGTTCTACAGAAAAGGTAACCTTAAATGACTTCTGTTGTGATCTGGCGCTATATAGAAAATAAAATTAACTTGACCTTCAAGGAGGGGGGGGATGGGGCGCCCCCCTAATATAATGGTAGGGGAAACACTGGTGACATTAAAACCCATGGAGTTCCCAGATTTCTACATCTGCCATTGGGATTGTTTGAGTGCGGAATATACTGACTTGTCTTGTTTTTCCTGGCATGGGGAGTCTGCCTTTCCCCCCCCAGCTAACAAACTGAAGTGTGTCATGTGATCCTGGGAATTGGGACACTTCACTTAAGCTTTTTTATCCGAGTTGGCAGATTTTTAAAGTGGACCCATTAAACAAAAAAGCGAAGGTGACATGTTTTACGGCTCGTATTTGTGTGGAAAACTGAGCACTTTTTCCCCCCAGGTCTTAGAAGCATTGAGTCCTGTGTTTGTCTTTCAGATCTGGTCCGTTGGACTGGTGGCGGCCCACCCCCCCGCAGGCATGGAGAGGTGTCAGCGGTAAGCTGTGTGGAGCCCATGCGTGGGTGTGGTCCCCTGCGGTCTCTGCTCACGTCCCTCCCCTGCGGTCTGTGCTCACGTCCCTCCCCTGCGGTCTGTGCTCACGTCCCTCCCCTGCGGTCTGTGCTCACGTCCCTCCGCTGCGGTCTGTGCTCACGTCCCTCCGCTGCGGTCTGTGCTCACGTCCCTCCGCTGCGGTCTGTGCTCACGTCCCTCCGCTGCGGTCTGTGCACCTCTGTTGTTGCATCCTCACCTTCCTCTCTCTCACTCTCTCACTTTCACACTCACTCACTCACTCTCACTCTCTCTCTCTCCTCCCCCCACAGGTTCCCAATGATTATCCAGGAACATTGATGGACAGCAGCCACATGCACGTAACCCCACCCTGGAAACCTGAGGTATTGCAGCTTCAGTTCAGATGTACAGATCTTCTTGATGTCCCGTCAGTCACTCAAGGGACTTTTACTTTCACAAAAATGTTCTGAGGGAAAAGCAAAAAATGATTGGTTCAGAGAGAGAACCAATCAGATTGTAGATGAGGTGTGTCTTGGCAACTAGAACATCAAATGTCTTGATCCCACCTCCAGTATTTAATTTGGCTTCACTCACCCCCCTATAAATAGCCATATCCCTTTGTATTATTAAGTTGTGCCCCCCCCCCCCAGTATTACACTCTCTCCTACCCTGTTGTGTAGCTCCTGTCCCTGGACTGCTTACACCTGTACTTGGTCTCTCACTGGAAGCTCAGCCTAATAGGGTTCAGTGTTCAGACTCAGCAAAATGATTTTTAATAATATCGCGATAGTTGATATTATCGTTTACGTTACTTAAAGCACTCATCAACAACAACTGCAGAATTTGGCCACAGGGTGGCATTTACCTGTTGTCACTCTTAAGCCCCTTAAGAAATTTTTCACTACAAGCGAGTGGGCGTGTTAATGGCGTTTCTTATATGCCACTGGCGCAAAAACGGAAGAATATGTAGCTGCTTCATGTTTCTGCTTGCCTCTATATGGCTTTCCGTTATTTCGCTGATGTCGCAAATATGTCCAAACACATGTAGAAGTGATCTACTTGTACTTTGAATGGACAAAGTGCAGTTATGAATAATAACTCGGAAAATTGTGTTTTTTTCCCGTCCCATTAAATGTTCCCCCCCTCCCATTTCCCCTAGGGTCTCAGTAAGTAAGTATCTGCAGCGCACCAGCCCCAAAACCAGATTCATTTCTCATTAGGGCAATAGGAAAAAGTGACAGTTGCTAATTTGTTAATAGCTAGTCGAAGTACAAAGTTGACAAAATAATACTTAAATACAGTAACAAAGTGCTATAGATCACTGATAACTAATTATGTAACTGACTGTAATAAGTGAATTCTCTGGCAGGCTAAGTTCAACTTGAGTTATTAGAGGATCTTTTTTGCTTTTGCAGCTACATGAGAAAACCGTACCGAAAAACCGTATGGCTTTTCGCGCTGGCTGTATTCAGAGAACTCGTCACAGCAATGTTGAGATTGTGGCCTAAACAGTTTAACCAAGGACATCCCAGCTGTCTTACATCTGCAGCTACATTTGCTGCATTGTCTGTTGTAACGCAAGCGATGTATGTCTGTTCAATTTTCCATTCCTCAAACGCAGCACTATCCATCAGCGAGTTGCAAATCTGCCGGCTCGCCTTTATTTGGTTTAAAAGCAAAAACTTCCCATCAGCTGCATTAGTATTTTTCTTCATAACCAGGTCAGCCATCTTTGTTTTTCTTCAGTGCAGGCGTGTTTGACGGTTATCGTTTTAAAGTGATATCGTTAGTCAAGTCTGCCAACATCGGCACGATATCAACAATATCGCCTAAGCCTACAGCGTAGCTGCACTTATGCCTAGACCTTCTCGTCACCCGTAGGAGTGTAATGTCCCTCACTCGTATGTCGCTTGATAACAGCGTGTATATCCCCTTTCACGCAAATCCCCCCAATGACGTTCCTCATCTCTGTGATGCCTGATCACCCACCAGTGGATCAGGTGCAGAGGAACTGACCCTATGCAGCATCTTTGCTCTCGTTTCCCCAGTACAAAGGTCAGGCTAACATGCACGTGTTCGAGGACTGGTGTGGCAGCTCCACCGACCAGCTGCGCAGGAACCCGCTCTACCCTCTGTACCCACACGTGAGTCCTGTCACACTCAGTCCTGGCTGCAGCTTTCCATGGGTCAGAACCCGTCAATTTATACTTGTTTCCATTGCAGTATTGTTAAAAAAGGGATTTATGGATGGATGGATGGAGGGATGGATGTATCATCCCACCGCGCAGATGTTTCCCTGAATTTCCCTGATGTTTCCCGCACTGTACTGGTGCTTCTCTCTCCTTTCATTTTCAGTCAAGGGCGACGGTCCAAAAGCTGGCTGTAGCTCCCGGCTGGACCAACTACGGCCTGCGGATCTTTGGCTATCTGCACCCCTATGTGGACGGTGAGTCTGGCTGGTGGGATCCCATGTGAGAGGCGTGAATCTGGATTTTCTGTTCTGTACACTCCTCTTCTATGTGTGGTGTCTCTGTAGGTCTTGATTCCTATATCCATCTTTGCTTGATCCCATCTTGATCCCTGTGGCCACCTTCGCTTGACCCCAGCTTGATCCCTGTGGCCACCTTCGCTTGATCCCTGCTTGATACCCTTGGTCACCTTCGATTGATCCCAGCTTGATCTCCGTGGCAACCATTGCTCGATCGCAACTTGATCCCCGTGGCCACCATTGCTTGATCCCAGCTTGATCCCTGTGGCCACCTTCACTCGATCCCAGCTTGATCCCTGTGGCCACCTTCACTCGATCCCAGCTTGATCCCTGTGGCCACCTTCACTCGATCCCAGCTTGAT